AGTACCCGCGGGTACTATTAATGTGAATAGTACTCACAAAATAATTTTTTTTTTAACCTTGTGAATAGTACCCGCAGATACTATTCATGTGAATAGTACTCACAAAATAAATTTATTATTATTATTATTATTATTATTATTATTATTATTTTTTAGAATTGCGACTTACAATTCCGTTTTTCAAACTTTAAGGCGAAGCCAGCTCTCTCAGCCCAAGAAAAAGAATATGTTGGTAACGCCCTTGCGCACCCAGTGAAGACCTTTAGTGATCTTGTGACGGAGGAAGCTCTAGAATTGTATGTACAAGCTACTAGCTCAACTGAAACCCTCACCCATTCAGAGAAAGGTAAGAAAAACAAAGGTACTTATACGTAAACTTACTAATTTTAGTTAATATTTTCCTTACTACTCTTTATATAGGCCAGAAACTCAGTAAAAGGCTCCTAGCTCAAGTCTGGTCAAGTAATCTTCCCTCTACTCCTGCTTCCAAGAAATTACGAAGGGTAGGAGAGCAAAATCATGGTAGATCTTCAAACCCTGGAGTGTTACCAGGTCCCACTCCTATATCTCTAGGTTTCAGCGGAATTGGTGGGGTTCCTACGAGTTTCGAGAGTTTTGGTTCAATATTAACCAACCAAGCATTTTCCTAAGGGGAGTCGATTCTCGATAACGCTAATATTGCATATGATAGGCTACATAAAATAGTAGTAAAAGATGACACTGCCAGATTGCAAAACCTGCCAGCATCTGAACTTTTAAGGAAATTTCTTCATCTAATTAGCCAGGTGAGATTTTACCCTTATCATGTGCATCTCTTTCTTTTTCAACTATTTGCCACTATTTATTTATTTATGTATTGATTTATAGGGCACTACATACTCTGTTGTTATTGCAAAAGAATATGAGAAGCTTTCTCTAGAGATGGCTTCCCTCAAGGCTAAATACGAAGATGTTACTTCTATGCTTAAAAATAAAGAAGATGACTTGGCTAATGCAAAATTAAACTTTCAAGATGAGAAAGTGAGACTTACCAAAGAATACTTCGATAAGCTGGAACTTGAGAAGTTAGCTGCCATGGAGAGCTTTAAAAATTCTAATGAGTTCAAGGTGCTTATAGGCAAGGTTTGCTGTGATGGTTTTGACCAGTTCAAAGTTTTTGTCAGCAAAGATCGTCCGGACATAGATTTTTCTATGTATGATATTCTGGCTGAAAGTGAAGAGGAAGATTGAATTCCATAGTAACAGTCATATATATATAGATATATATATATTAGATTTTTTTTTTTTTTTTCTTTTTTAGCATGACGATCCCTTAGAACTGTTAAGAATATCTCTCAACTCAGAGAATAGTTGTTCTTCTTTTGACATTTTGTCTTTCATGATATTGCTTCATACTTGTTATTTCCGTGTGTAGAACTTCTTTTACTTTTTCAGGCTTCACTCAGCCCGTCCTTTTGAAGGAATGTCTTTTTACAAGCTTCACCCAGCTCGTCCCTTTAGTAAGGGAATATTTCTTTTAATAAAGAAATGGACTTAATGCTTTACTAGTCCTTTCGTGACTTATTAAATTCAGTAATAACGTAATCAGCAGTAGAAATACGTGAAATAAATGTGAATAATTATTTTATTACAGACTTATCAAAAACAATATTCGATAGTCGAGCATCAGCATCCATTAAACACTGGTCTGCTTTATTGAAGCTTAAAACATACTATCACTTTTAAAAGTGAGATAATAAAACATAGCTCGTACCTACTGGTAATATTTCCTCAAATGTTTTGCATTCCATGGGTGGGGAAGTTGGCTCCCACCAAGTGTCTCTAACCAATATGCCATCGGTCTGTTGCACTGGGTTACTCGATAGGGGCCCTCCCAGTTGGGAGTTAACTTTCCTTCCTCATTTACCATAGTAGCCGGGGTAACCTCGCGAAACACCAGGTCCCCTGGCTCGAACCTCCTTAGCTTGACCCCGGCATTGTAGTACTTGGATGACATCCGTTGGTAAGCTGCAACCTTGATTTAGGTCTGCTCTTTTTTTTCTTCTATCAGGTCCAAGTTTAACCGTAGTTCCATCTCGTTCTGTTGAGGTTCAAAATACTTATTTCTGAGGGTAGCAACCTTTGTTTCTACCGGGATCACAGCTTCACTTCCAAAAGGGGTCTCCCCAGTGGGGGTTCTTACGGTAGTGCGATAGGCCCATAAAACTTCGGGTAGTTGTTCAGGCCACAAGCCCTTGGCTTTTTCTAGGCGTGTCTTAATCATCTTCAGTATTGTCCTATTCGTGACCTCAACTTGCCCATTGGCTTAGGGATGGGCAGACGAAGAGAAATGGACCCCAAGTTCATTACAAAAATCAAGGAACTGCTCACTTTCAAACTGCTTCCCATTATCGGTCACAATTACCCTTGGTGCTCCGAACCTGCAGATTATTGTCTTCCAGAAAAACTTTTTTACTTCATTCGCTTGAATATGAGCTAATGGCTCAGCCTCCACCCATTTGGTGAAATAATCGATAGCCACAATTGCGTATTTAGTTTGTCCCTTCCCTTGGGGTAAGGGGCCGATGAGGTCCGTCCCCTATTGGGCAAAAGGCCACGGCCTGTAAGAGGGGTTAACTCTTCTGTTGGTCGTTTTGGGACATTGGCGAATCTCTGGCACTTGTCACATTTCTTCATAAACTCAAGCGCATCTTTCCTCATAGTAGGCCAAAAGTATCCTTGTCGGATAGCTTTATGCGCTAGCGATCTGCCCCCAGCATGGTTTCCACAAAGGCCTTCATGTTTATCCTTTAGAATGTAATTCGCCTCATCTATGGAGACACAACGCAAGTAGGGTAGAGAAAATCCCTTCTTGTAGAGAACCTCTTTAATGAGGCAATATTTTGCAGCACGCATCTTGATCTTTCGTGCTTCCATGCGATCCTGGGGTAGCTCTTCGTTCTCTATGTACCCGATAATGGGTTCTGCCCACTCCATACTTGGGATCACCTGGTGTATTTTCTATGGCCAATCCCAAACTGTGCTAGGCTCATCCAGATATCTCACAGGTATGGCTTTATCTTCCTCTGCGGTTGCCAGTCGAGCTAGGGCGTCTGCCTGCTCATTATCTTCTCGGGGGATCCGGTTAATAGAGAACTTATTAAAAAAGCCCTTGATATCTTCTATCTTATGTAGATAGGTCTTCATCTTCTCATCCTTGGCTTCATATTCCCCCTGGACTTGTCCAGTTATTAATTGAGAATCGGTATACGCTATTAGTCGCTTAACTTCTAGAGTTTTAGCTATCCTGAGGCCTGCTAGGAGGGCTTCATATTCCGCCTCATTGTTGGTTGCCTTAAATCCAAACCTGAGTGCATATTTGATGCATTCCCCATTCGAGGAAACAATTACTAGCCCTGCCCCATTTGCACGGGCGTTGACCGACCCATCCATGTATAATGTCCAAGTAGACTCAGTTTCTTTCTGCTCATTTACGCCATGCTCGTGCCCCTCTTCTGGTGTGAATTCCGCTATAACATCTGCTAGTACCTGGGCTTTTAAGGCCGTTCGGGGTTTGTATTGGATATCAAACTCTTCAAGTTCTACCGACTACTTCATGAGTCGCCCCGAAGTATCAGGTTTGCGGAGGACCTGCCTAAGTAGCTGGTCTGTCGATACTATTATGGTATGCGCTTGGAAGTAAGGCCTGAGTTTCCTTACAAAAACAACTAGGGTAAGGGCCAACTTTTCTATCCTTGGGTACCTCTCTTTTGCTCCTCTGAATGCACGGCTAGTATAATATACTGGCCTCTAGATTCCATCCTCTTCGCGGACTAAGGCTGAACTTACTGCTGATGGAGAAACCGCCAAGTACAAATACAACTGCTCTCTTTGCATTGCCCGTGATAGTAACGGTGGTGAAGTGAGATACTCCTTCAGCTCTGTAAAAGCTTGCTCACACTCAGGTGTCCATGAAAAAGCTTTCCTGAGCACACGAAAGAAGGTAGGCATCTATCCGTTGCCCTGGGAATCAACCTGTTCAGAGCGGCGATTCTTCCTATCAATCTTTGAAGTTCCTTAGTCGATGCTGGAGATCACATGTTGAGAATTGCCTGGATTTTCTCGGGGTTGGCCTCTATCCCTCTCCTGCTTACCATGTAACCAAGGAATTTCCCTGAGGAGACACCAAAGGCACATTTGTCTGGGTTGAGTTTCATTTGGTGTTTCCTGAGGACTTGGAATGTTTCCTGTAGATCAACTAGGTGGTTTTGAGCTTTCAAGCTTTTTACCAGCATGTCATCCACATATACCTCCATATTCCTTCTAATTTGATTCTTGAATATCAAGTTGACTAGCCGCTGGTATGTTGCACCAGCATTTTTGAGCCCAAAAGGCATCACCTTGTAGCAATACAAACCTCTGTCCGTGACAAAAGATGTCTTTTCTCTATCTGGTAGACGCATGTTATATCCTGAATATGCATCCATGAAACTGAGCAACTCATGGCCAGCCGTTCCTTCTACTAACATGTCGATTCTTGGTAGATGGAAGCTATCTTTGGGGCACGCCTTATTTAAATCGGTAAAGTCTACGCACAACCTCCATTTTCCATTGGCCTTTTTTACCAAAACAACATTGGCCAACCAGTCGGGATAATTGACCTCTTGGATGAAATCAGCTTTCAGAAGCTTGTTCACCTCTTCTGATATAGTCATGTTCCTCTTCGCAGCAAATGTTCTTCGTTTTTACCTGATAGGTTTGACTGTGGGATCCGTGTTTAATCAATGCTCGATCGTAGCTGGATCAATACCAGGTATGTCTTCATGTGACCATGCAAACACATCTTGATTATGTCTGAGGAATTGTATAAGAGTATTCATGAAGTCTAAGGGGAGTAGAGACCCTATCTTCACCTTTTTTGTTATGTCATTGTCATTTAAGCATATCTCCACCAGGTCCTCAATTGACTTGGCTCGATCCCACTCCTGTTCTTCAATTTCTTCGACAACCAAAGCCTCTTGCTACTTCTTTTCTCTCAGAGACGCAACATAGCATTCTCTGGCAGTGGTCTGATCTCCTCTTAGTTCGCCTACGCCCTGTTCTGTAGAGAAACGCATCAAAAGATGATAAGTCGAAGTGATTGCCCTCATCGAGTTTAAGGTAGTTCTTTCTAGGATAACATTGTAAGCAGATAGGCAATCCACCACCAGGAAGTCTACCATGACAGTAACTTGTTTCGGGCTGGTTCCTACAGTGACGGGAAGAATGACAGCTCCTAGAGGGTAGACCTTATCTCCCGTGAATCCCACCAATGGTGATCTAGCAGGTATGAGTTTCTCCTTACCAATATTCATTTTGCTGAATGCATCAAGGAAAATGATATAAGCCGAACTTCCATTATCCACCAAGATTTGTCGAGTAGTATAATTAGCGATCATCATAGTGACAACGAGGGGGTCGTCATGAGGTTGTTGCACATCCTTAATGTCTTCGTCCGAGAATATAATAACAGGATCACTTAGACGAGGCATTTTCCGATGTTGAACCTGTACTCTAACTTCGCACACCTCAAATGAGCTTTGTATTTTCCTGGCATAAGCCTTTCGAGCTGAGCTTGATTCTCCACCTCCTGCACATCCCCCGGCTATGACCCTGATTTCTCCCATTGGTTGTTGATCAGGATGACGATTATCTCGGCCTGCTCTAGGTGGATTAATGTCGGTTCTGTCATTCCCAACAATAAACTTTCGTATATGCCCCATTCGGATCAGAGTCTCAATCTGATCCTTGAGGTTGAAGCAATCCTCTGTGGCGTGCCCATGGTCTTTATGGAACCTACAGTACTTATCACGAGGTCTCCTCGCCGGATCTGACTTCAACTTTGGTGGCCACTTCAGATATGGTTCATCCTGGATCTGCAGGAAAATTTGATCTATCGGCATATTTAAAAGAGTGTAATTTGTATACCTCTCCGCGTTCTTATAGCGAGACACCCTTTCATTTTAATTAACCATGGGTTTCTTATACTTGGTTTCCTTTTCATCTCTGGTTGTCAGGGCCGGCCTTTTCTTGTCTGCCTTCTTATCGTCCCCTTCTTTTCCCTTTCTCGCAATCATTGCATCTTCAGCATTCATATGTCTTTTAGCTCAAACCAATAACTCGGCCATGCTGGTAGGAGGTTCCTCTGATAAAGAGAAGAGGAATCTCGAGGTTTGGAGTCCTCCCATGAAGGCGACTAGGGCCACCTTGTCATCCGCTTCCTCCACCTGCAACATCTCCGTGTTGAAACGACTAATGTAATCTCGCAGTGACTCTCAATCAAGCATCAAAAGGTTTCGATGGTTCCTGGCTTTAGTTTGTTGAACCATACCCGTGCTGATCCTTTGAGGGTCGTTGGGAAGGTCTTGCACATGATCTCATATGGTATCGCGTGCAGGTGCATAAGCGCTTGAAAAGTCTCCAAGTGGTCGAGGGGATCTTTAGTTCCGTCGAAACTCTCAATTGTGGGCATTCTAAATTTGCTTAGCAAGGGGAATTTCATAACCGAGGGGCTGAATGGCAAGTTGGTATTCTGCACCAAACCATCTATGGCCGCAATGCCTTTCCCCTTCATAGCCTGCATCACACCCTCCATCTTTGCCTTGGGATCCTGCATCTCTAGGTCAACGTAGGAAATCTCCTCTGTCTTTTCAATGACAGTTGTGTCTTCATGGGGTCGGGAACTCCGTGGAAGAGGGGTGGATCACCTCTCTATGTCGGTTTCCCACCTGGCTTTGTTTCACTTCTGTCTCATGTCGGGGAGGATGATTATCCTGCTCCTCCAGATTCCCATTACCCCTGTTTGGATTAGAGAGGTTTTGTCGTGGCAAGCTTTGTTAAACCGGTGGAACAAGGTGTTGCAGGAGTGCTGCATTTTGCTGGATCAACTGGTCCATACCCTGATTCAGAGTTTAGACCTTCAATTCCAACGCTGCAAGCCGTGTCTGGTCGTTTGGGACATCTAGGTTTAAACCCGACTCTTCCCTTTGACCAGATCCCTGCGACGGTGTTCCTTCGATAACCATACCGGACAACAAACGTATACACCCAACCGAGTAATTAATTGATTCAAGGGAATTGTCGTTCCCACAGACGGCGCCAGCTGTTGAGGTTGAAATTCGCCGCGGCCTAGTACGACACCGTTTCCTGCAAAACAAGGATGGCAAAGTCAAACAACGGTGTGGTGCCGGCCGTTGACCCTCCAACGATCAAGTTAGTGGGGGTTTTCAGAGAAAGAACTTCTATCGTAAAGAGTCTTAGTATGAGATTTTTTGTGTGTACCTTATTCCCGAGTCGTCTTAGTATTTATAGTCACTTCCCTTATTCTTGATAAGGGAATTTCATCGTCCTTATCCCATGGAGCTTATCCCGTGGAAATCTTATCCTTGATAAGATTTGAACATACCCCATGACAAATCTTATCCTTGATACGATTTGTCATCATTCTTATCTAATAGAAATGGTTATCCTTGATAACGAGATATTTTCGCTTGAAAGTTGAAGAAGTCTGGCGGCTAGTCAATATTTAATTACCTCTGTCGTTAGGTCAAGATAGGTTAGGGTTATTTTTCTTTATCACTTTTTATCCACAATCGGACTCGAACTCCTCCAAGGGCGAATCCAAGAATTATTAATGAGGGGGCTAGTATTGAACATAAATTTAATTACACAATTTCATAAGCAATTTTTTTTTTTTAAATAGGTTAAAAGGGGGACTAATACTACTATTAAATTTTTTTTTTTTAAAAAAAATTGGACTGAATATACTATACTAAATTTTTTTTTTTTTTTTTGGAGGTCTAGCCCACCCAAACCCCCCTCTATGCCCGCCACTGAACTCCTCCCCCTCTTCGAGTATGAAAAAATTATATTGTTGGACCAAATGCCATTTGATTACTTGGACAAAACTCATTTGTTATCATTGATATTTTAATATATATATATATATATATAAACATTTATTTATATAAATTAATAATTCAGCTCGTGTGTGTGTGTATATATGTATAAACCCCTCTCTTCTTTATAGTTGCACAGGGGGAAAGATTTTTGACGTTGCTGAGCTGGGTCCACTGCTGTCCGCTACTCCATCGAACGGCGAATAGTGCGCCAGCTTAGCAGGAGCCAGATCCCTTAAAAAATAAAAGGACCATCATCCCGTCTCTCTCATTTTCTAACCTATGTCCAGAAGAACCATCATCCTTTTATCAAGTAGGTAGATGTCTCAGAATTTCAAAATGAGAGTAATTTTGAAATTCTAAAAAGGATGAGAATAATATACTGTTTAGACGAGAGAGATAAGAATGTAGAAATTTGGGTTTTTGAAATACCCCTAAAAAAGGGGAGAAGAATGAGGAAGAGAGACGATAGAGAAGTATGGCGAAATTAGGCTCAAATTTTTTTGCCATTTCTTTTGTTTTCCTTCATTTTCTCACTTACCAAACAGAGTCTGTTGTTTAGTTTCCCCATGATTGTATTTTCTTTCTTTCTTTCTGCATATTCACGTACAGGAGGTTTTGGTTTTATTTTGTTTTAGTACTGCAGGACTCCATCAATGACTCATCCAAGCTTGAAAATCAGTACAAACCAACTTAGGCTTTGCTGTAGATACACCCATTACCGACCCATAAAGGGGGATGGTGGCTCCAAGAAACCCAGTTCTTCCTAGCATAGTTAATAGTTAGGGAGAGAACCCAGCCACCTTAAGGCAATGTTGGCTTGATTCATTTCTTTTTGTTTTCTTCAACCAGAACGGCACCGTTTTTCTCTACGTCAGTTTTCCCTGTTGAGCTGGCTCCCTGTCCGCCATTGGATTGAGCAGCGGACCCAGCTCAGCAATGTAGAGGAGCCGGGTCCTCTACTCTCACTTCCATCTCGTGTATCTAAGATTCTGTAACTTCAATGCGAAGAACAAATGTGTAAATTATTGATTCCATGGACACGTGTATGTAGGCTCCTCATTTAATGCCATTTCTAATAGTAAGGACATGTCCCCTCAACAACCATCAGCTAGAGATACAGTTTTGTATTTATTTTTACGTGTATATATATTATTTTATTTTTAGGAGGGAGAGTAGCCCATATGACATTCATTCAAAATTCACATGTAACATGTCCACACTAAAATTCAATGGTAACCCCCATCCACACAAGCCTTTATCTCTAGCTACAATAATAATGTTATCCATGGAACTATGCATTTAATCACCTAGTTTTCTTCTTCATCAGATACAAAGAATTCGTGCAACTGTATGAGTGTGAGTGTGAGTGTGAGTGTGAGTGTGTGTGTGTGTGTGTGAGAGAGAGAGAGAGAGAGAGAGAGTTGCTACATCAAACAGCCATTTACATATGTAGTATTGAAGACTCAAGTCTTGAGCAGGGAGCGATCAGAATACATGACAGGAAGAAATAGAGATAAGGAACCAAACACAGGTAAAAAAGCTAGAACTACCAATAGGGATATCACTTACCTACTTAGAAAGGTTTTTTCAGTACACTAAATCTTAAAAATACATGGAAACAAAGACAAGTAATTAAACATGGTGCCCAAACTTGAATCCAAACCAGTGTTTCCAGCATTTAGATAGAGACAATACTCAAGGTCTTTCACTTACAGAGAATTCGCAGCTCCAATATCACACTAATTACGATTTTTGCACTTCTCCATCGCTTTGGGGGCTGCAAAAATCATATCAGAAAGCATTTATTAGGAGGTGTATTATCTATGATAACCATTTAGTCCTTGAATATTCAAATATCCAATGCACAGAGATTGAAGGATTTTTTAGGCTAGACTGGCAGACTGAGCTAAAGTTAAGAGGGTTTTAAGATCACGGGGTTAAGGTTTGCAAATGAAATTAAAGAGTTAGAAAGGATGGTTATGATTGTATTAGCATGCATAATATCGTGGATGTTAAAATGAAAACAGAGGAAGGTACAAGGAGCACCAATTGGAGACGAAATGGAAGGCTGCCTACTAAGATGGTCAGGTGAGGTAGTGACAACCAATAATTGTGTTGTTGAGAAATAGTGTCGTGGTCCACAATAAAGCTAGTGTTAGGGAAAGCGAAGACATATCAATATTGGTCATTTGGTTGAGATAGTAAAGAAAGATGCCCTGTGTATTTAACTAAATTTTATCCCTAAAGAGAGCTAAATAAAAAAAAAAACACAATTCATGTATGAACCAGATATTACTAGGAAAAATAAATAATAATAAATAAAAGGTCTCGACTGAATTAAGTTTAGCATTGAGCCATCATTAAAATGATGGATGTTTCCCCTTTAAATATTTTTTTGCTGAGAAACATGCACAGGAGGTCAGAGCCACAGTTAGAAGCCATTTTGTCATATGATAATAATAGATAATTGAGAATGTGCGTGTAGTTTGTGTTACGGATTGGACCATTGGAACTTTTAATAAATCGTGCATGCTCTATTTCATTTAAGAGTTCATACCTAAACCAATTGCATCTGAACTTTTCATGATCCTGAGCCTCTTACAAGAGTCAGTGAACATCCTGCAACAGCGAAGAATATCAAATCAGAATGAAAATAATTCCCTTTCTTAATTTTTTTACTTTTGTTCCTATATTTTCTGGTTTTTCATTGAAAGAGATGGAACATGATTCCACTAAGATCAGGTGTACAAAAATAAAAGCTGTGTGGAAGATTATTCAGATCAAATCAGCAGAATTTTCTAAGAACCACAAGATTGAAAATCCATAAAACAAGACAGACAATTTATGCAGTATGCTGAGTTATCTTCTTCTGATAACTCAGCAGATGATTCATAACAACTAAACACACATCATACTTGTATTTAAAACTCCCTTTTCCATAGCAACTAGAATGGGAACTTGAAAAGGGAACACCAAGAGAAACCAAAACAAGAAACATGTTTCTAAAATAACATAGGAAACACAAAGTGGTGTGATTTGGAATTATGTTGGAAGCTTATGAGGAAAAGAAATGAAAAACATTGAAAAAATTAAGAAAAGTTGCATATTAAAATGAAATATAAATTCTAAGAAAAAGAAAAAATTTAAGAAAATTTATGTAAAACTGATGAGAACAAGGTTTGAAGAGCACAAAAAATATATAGAGAAGTATGCAACGCGTATTTATCAAAAGTTCCTTTAATGCTTCCCTTGTGCAAGCAGAAAGTCTCTTATTAGTTTTTCCACAGTATTGGACATGTGACCCAAATGTTCCTGTTCTTTTTCACCAAAACATCTCGGAAGTTTTCTCCAATCTTCAGAAACAGGGTATCTCCGACTTATTTATTGAAAAAAGAAGAAAAGTTGGGAAACAGGGTTTCTACTATGAGTTTATGATAACCTTTCCCGCCAATTTTTTTTTTTTTTTTTTTTTTTTTTTTTTTTTTTTCTCTGTGAAATATTGGTTTGTATATATGTTCATTTTATGAATAAAATCAGAATATTGCTAAATAGCTATTGCACCCAAGTTTGACAACCTATATAGTGTAATATGTTTAAGTTCAAATCAAATGGATCGACTTCAGCACTATTATCCAGCATGTGTCTTTCTGGAACTGCATTCATAAAATTTGTAGAATTTCAGGTTGGGAATAGCACTTACTCCCAGGGAACATCACCAACAAGCATCCAATCACCATCCTTGTCTTCGTAGGTAAGTACATATTCTGAACCATGGAGGAGATCCATTAATCGACTCTCACTCAATCCATCTCGGCTGGTAACTCCATGAGATCCGCATTGCCCTGAACGTCACTCATGGCAAACATTAACTCCCTTCACATGAAAAAGTACAAACTACAAGAGAGAGAGAGCACGTGCACATGTTTCTGTATCCTGTCTGTAAAAAGTATCAATGTATGTCTTTAAATACATTGATACTTTTTACAAAATCAAAATACGAAACTATGTTGGTATGACAAAAGAGTAATAGGTACAAAAGAAAAAGGACCAAAGGGTCTCTTTAGCCGTCCCTTAAATAACAATGGTTCCACTCATAATTAATTGAGTATTGTATGTGAACTAGATCATTTTGAATGGAACTATTTCGAAAAATAGGAAACTAAAACATATATCTGCGTATGTGGTCATTATTAGGTTTTCTTGAAATGGCATAAACCATGATTTAAGCTTCATTTTCAAAGTGTCTCTATTTTCTCAAAACAAAATTCATTCAAGATGATGAAATTTCTAAATTGAAAAACTATATAAAGCATTAAATTCAAGGGGACATCCAAATAGTCTACAATTTTCTCATAGCATGAAAATTTTGGATTCAACAAAGAATAACAACTGTAGCTGTGAAAATACCCAAAAATTGTCTCACTGATCACCCTCCAAATAAAACAAAGGGATCTGTGTATGTCAGAAACCAGAAAAAGTATTACAGATTTTAGAAGAAACATCAAATAAAAATATAAAACTCTGATTTTGAATCACAAAAGTCATATAATTAAAATTCTAGAAGTGCTATCAGCAGTAAAAGCCAAATCACTGGAAGTTAATTTCTCAACTCGAATATTTTTTTGCTTGTTTTTTGTTTTTTTCTTCTTTTTCCCTATCTATGGTAATAATCCATTTCTCTTCATTTTTCAGTAATGAAAAGAAACTGTATGGAATATACCAGTCGGAATGCAAAATAGGGTTTTTGGACATCCAACAAAAATTGAATCATTTCTGAGTTTCACATAGGAATTAAGATAGACCAACTTTGATTCTGGTGACTTCATAACTAGGAGTTACATGGCAGCATAGCAAAGATGGGATTCATTGAGCACTTACCAATTGTAAAGCAGCTGAACATCTTTTCCAGTGCCGAAGAAAGTTCCATGTAGCTGCAGTAGGTTTTGAGATCAACTTTCCTCAGGTATGGTGCGCCATCCATACTGACTTTGATGTAAAGACATCCCAATCCCAGCTTGGAATCCATATTATCATTATTCTTAGGAAGATTACTAGCCATTGTATTCTTCCGGAATGATCGAATTGGTGGCCATCCTACCACTTGTGCCCTGTCTCCCAGAAACAAGAACACGGAAGAGAAATTTAAGTTTATTAACAACCATAAAGATGAAGGTTTTAAGTTCACTTTTTGTTTCCTAATTTAGGAAATCAAAGTCTTATAGCAATTCAATAATAGACCAAAGAGAAGCATCAAGAAAACAGAGCAGAACAAAAATACCCTATCACATCTGAAAGATAGAAATGCATCTCAGGCCACTCCCCTACATCTTTAAGAAGAAGCTTCTGAAACACAGACCTAAAAGTCCTCTAAAGAGTATCGACAATAGAATTTTATGGAACAAATGAAGCCGTTGAAGAAAAGCACAACTTAGAGAAATCCAAAATTCAGCCCAATACAGAGAAGAAAATACAAATTCAAAAACAACAATTATCATATGACATCTGAAAAGAAAATGACTGTAAAACACCACAGCTGTATGACTAAGAAAGCAACCCAACAATAATATGGACCAAGATAACCTATGAACAAATTTTTTCTAAGCCATCAGGAACATCAATAAGTAAAATCATAAACCAATTTATAGAAAGAAAAAAACGAAAAGAAAAAAAGAATTGAGCAACTGAGCTAAGTTAACTTTCTCTCACTTTCTTGGAAAGAGAAAGAGGGAGATGAAAGAAAATTACTTTGAAGCTGGAGCAATCCCATGAGCGTTTGCAGCAGAACTCTGAGGCTTCTTCTCCGGCACCGGCTTTGGTGACTGCGGGACAGCATCTTTCACAGCATTGGAAGCCATCACAGACTGCTGAGTGTTACTCTCAGACCCAACACCACCAAGAGTCTTCCCACCTCCATTGACACCTTTAGGAGAGAACAAACCACCACTTTTGGCCAAATCAACTTCAGATCCAGCAGTTCCAGAGAAAACCCACTTCCCAGAACCACCATCAATGGTGTCAGAGAAGCCCCTCTTGGCCCCAGACACCAAACCCTTCACTACACCAAGTGGGTGCCCGTTCTTATCCTCCCCCACACGTCCACCATCTCTCTCTGGTGACTCAGAGCCAGGCAAGCCAAGTCTTAACTCAGTGGCCTTCAAGTTCAAACCTTTTTTGGTTCCATTATTATCTTCTGACGTAATATTGCTTTTCTCAGAGTTGTCCATTGAAGGAACCTCTGAGAATCCTATGTAATCATGTTCTTCAAAGGGCGTAGACATCAAAGTTCAACAAGGGTATGGTTCAGAGATGAAAAGGGTAACTAGTAGAACTGAAAAGAAGAGCTAATTCAATATTTAATTAGTAGTAGTACTGAGGAATACACAGAAAATGAGCGAGCCTTTTGATTGCAGATTTGCAGTGAAGAGAAGAGAGGCTTTATAAGGCTTGTATCGCCTCTTATAATTTATCTATATAATTGAGTCCCTTAAAACTAATAATCTAACTCTTAATGATGTTTTAGCCTTTTTCTGTTTTTGGTATGTATTGCAATGATGTTTAGACTGTTTGGTTCTTCAGTTTTTGACAATGCTTATCCATTTCGTTATCAGATAACACAGTAAACATAAAACAATTTACAAGTTTGTAAAAATTATTCTTTGAAAACAGTGTAAGATTTTAAATTTTCAAATACACTCTTTTTATTATGCATGTTTCTGTTTAACAACATTATTTATTTATTTTCAGACAACAAAGTAGAAAAATAATATAAAAAATTCTTCAATTTTCAGATTACTTTTTAATGAGGTTATGCATTTTGCCCTAATATTTTTCACAGATAAAAAACTTTCAAGAGTTATTTGGTAATTATCCCTCTAGATCCTAATATGTTAAATCTTTATAGGACTTGTTTTTACCCACATTTTTTTTTTGTTTGGAGCAACCACACCGACAGGTCAAATAAAGCCTCCGGCAAACTTTTCCTCTGAAATTCTTTTTGTACATTATATATATATATATATATATATATATATATATATATATATATTTTTTTCTTTTCTTTCCAAAAATTGAAGCATTCATAATATTATTTCTAATTAGGCTGAACATTCGAGACTGTGCTGATGCCCCTTGGTAACAAATTTACACATGTAACATTAGTAGTACTATATTGGAAGTGTAAAAATGAGGCTGTGGAGCTAAAATGCGCTGGTGTATGCAGTGCAAGTTAGTGAAATAGCCTTCTGAGGACGAGAACAGAGTGCACGGAATCACAGAAAGGGATTGGACAAACGGTGTCTGTGAATCCTGAGAGCCAAAGAAAATTGGGGTTTTCAAGCTTTGGACCATTTTGTGGTTCGATTCCCTGGAAAAGAAGAGAGAAAATTTAAAATAATAGTTGAGGAGGGGTGGGTTGAAATGTACCATACAGAAAGGGAAGGCAAAAATGTCCTACAAAGTGAAGGAATTTCGGTAAAGCTGATCAAGGGATCAGAAAGAGTAAAAGAGAACGGCAGTTAGAGAGAGAAACTGAAAAAAGGAAATCTATCTTATGGGGAGAGGATCGAGAAGGCAGAGATTTTGTATACTGGTAACCCATCTACACGTCTCATTCATTCATTGTCCTGTTAAACAAGGCTCAAGTGTGCTTATTGTTATCCATATATATATATATATATCACACATATTGGTGATTAGTATGAAATTGTAGTATGTTTGGAAGTATTAAATAAACATTTCGGATTTGAGAATGAATAAAATTTTGTTGTTCATTCGGTAGTTTCAAACACAATAAATATATAATTTTCAAATATAATAACAGGATAACCTTAACATTCAACTAGAAAAGTAGAAAAAATATCAAAAGCGCCAACTCTTGATGCTATAAAGAGGAGATGGAAAGAGTGGTGGTGGTGTCACTGGTGTGATCATAATCATATCAGAGATTACAAATTAAGACGTCTGAGTAAAAGATAATAATTCCACCTAAGGGCATGGTTGTTAGGAAACAAAAATGGCCTGGCGTGAAATAATCAGTTTTAGTAACAAATTGACGGCCGCCAGAATAAATAATATATATATATATAAATTCACATGCTTACGGTTCAAATGGACAGAGTCAGTCATGACCAGTTTAGATGATGATATATTTGTGGTTGATGATATGCCCCGAGTCTCTTATTTTGAGGAATTGATTTATAAACAAAATGAATATAGTCTAGTATTTATTGTCATAGAAAAAACAAATAGCAAAATAACGTTGTTACATGCTTGATTAATTGTGTTCCCACTTGGATTCAGTTGTGCACATGCAACTTCAAAATAAGGAAGTGTGATGCACACGCTACAAAACCATGTTGCGCCCTCTCAAGTCTGTAATCGTTACCCACGCGAAAGTCTGGAACCAACATTATGCCGTCGCCTTCAGTTTCGATGAACTTGCTGGCAAAGGATACAAGTGGATTATAGGCCACTCCCGTTGGGTTTATACAATCTCTCTCTATGGGGTTTTTCAATTGGGCATAATCCTCCTATTTCACTAAATGTCTTATAAATCTTATTTCAAATTGTTTATTATTATCATAAATGGACACACATAATATTAGAAAAATTATCTATTTAATTGTAATTGTAATATGTCACGAGTGGGATTCTCTCTCCCAAGTTGGGCAATATGACCAAAATAAAAAATAAAAAAAATTGGAAGTCTGGCCCTTTCATCTTTGAATGACACTACTCCTTTAATTTTTTTATTGACCATGAAGCACAATACTTAAATCATGATCAGTCAAGGACATGCACCATTCTCACCACATATGTGATAATTCTATTTTTTTTTTTTTAGGATAATATTTGGGTCCTTAATAAAGATGTATATTATCCTCACCGTTGATGTAGACCAATAAAAAATAAACATGTTGTCTTTAATTACCAAATCAAAGATAATGGGATACATACCCACTTACCAAATCCCACCATCTCTTATTTGGTAAATAAGAAGAGGATGACTAATGTTATCATAAGTGAAGACCTAAGTAGTGTCCTAACAAGAATGTGTTAGATCTCACCAATAAAGACCTAAGTATTATTCAAATAATAAATTTAACAATCTAACTTGGACATAACATATTCGTGCTCTCTTCTTAATAATTGTCAGAATTTTTTATTGCACATAAAATTTAATAAAAATGAAAATGACACTCACATCACATAGGTCATTAACAAGAGATCCATAGGTCATAACCAAAAATTTTGTACCAATTTGGATGAATCCTTTGGGTTATTTGCAAAAGAGAATTTGATGCCACAAGCAGTTTTCCATCAAATAGTGGATGCCAACAACCTCTCTCCTATTTGAACAACAAAATAAACTGTACAATTGAAGCTATATTTGGTAAAAAGGAATCCGAAACCTTTCTAACCATGTTAACTATAAAATGGAACAATTCCCATTCAGCTGAAGTGGAATATAATATATATATAGACACACAGTCACATACTCACTCAAGCCAACCAGCTAGTAGAAACAGTCGTTTTAGGCTTCCCGTTCGCAACCATTTTAGCTTTCTAGAGAGGCTCATCAAGGTGAAGGAAGAAAAAGAAAATACTATTTTATCTTGGAGAGGTGTGGAGTTCACAATGAGAAGTGGGCCCACGTGGCAAAATACTTGCCGCTTGACGGTGGGTCCCAACAGTAGTGTCATGGAGCAGTGATCCAAAAGAGTGTGATCAGTGATCACCCCACTTTCTCCAATAGGCCGGCCACCTCTCTCTCTCTCACCCACACGCGCGCACACATCTTTTAACTGTGTGTGATGTTTGGCAAGGCTCAACTATGTCCCAATCGTGAGTTTGGAGCTGGCATATGTGGGTCCCTTGTGCCTGTGCTTTAATTACAATGATCCCACGTGGTTAACCAGATAATGGGATAAGTTTATTCTTTTGACCACCACTAAGACAATGATTCATTCTCCTCATTTCCTACTCTACTTGACTGTGTGACCAGCCATTTATTTTACATTAATTTACAGTCGTGGCATGTACGCTCAAGTGTGTGCAAGACATATTCTAGGGTCATGAGACCAAGTGAAATTGTGCCCACAAAAGACAAAACAAAAATGAATTCATATAATAGTAATACAACTTGAAAAAAATATTTGATGTCCACCCAAAAAGACAATACATCATTCAAGAAAACAGAAGGTGAAAAAAAGGAAAGAAAATAAATTATGAATTGGGTCATTACAGATGTTCATGCAAATCAGATCTAAACAGCCACTATTTAGTGCAGTTTTGTTAATTGATGTGTTGGGAGGGATAGACTATTTACAAACATAACCACTACCATTATATGTTTGATAGTTCGAGCTCCTAATACTGTAACAATATATATATATATATATATATATATTTCATAATAAAAAGATGGAAAGAAATGTTACTGGTCAAAATTCTTTAACCATACATATTATTTTCTTATTTGGACAGTAACTAAGAATCAATTGCAAATAGACAACCAAGACATAATCTTTCATTTTTATGGTACTCTATAGTGTATGCATACAAAATGAAAAGTGATGTGATGAGACCTAATTACATCCGCTGGGAAGTGATAAAATTATTGAAACCTAACAAGCCCTAAAAAATATGTCCACCATGTCATATATGGATGCCATGATCAGATCAAAGAATTTGCAGTAAGAGGCAGGGGACAACATGAATCTTGAAAACAGCATACCTGACCCCATGCAAGATTTGATTAAACAAGAGGAATCGCAACTTTTAGTCCCACTGGACCATCATATCCCTATGAAAATTAGCACAGCTGCACATCAGACACACATAATCAGAGGTGCACTGACCCCACTTAATAGAGTTTAGCTATTCAGAAGATGCTCCTTGCTGAAAATCAAGGTTATCCAAAATGATCACAAGTTCAATACCACAAATATATTTATCGTTATAACTGTAACACAAACAATAATTTATAGTATATTCCAAACCATGTTTTCACATTCTAATAATATCATATTCCACATTCTCAATTAAATAAATTCATCCTGCTCCCGGAAATAGCACATGTGGTTTAATCACAAATCAGAGGACCACAATTGTTAAAACATCAAAGGAAGTGAAAAATTTACGAGTACGATCTAATTTTCAATGCATTATTCTCTTTTAGCAAGTAGTTACAAACCCAATCAAATTTTGCTAAATAAAATTTCTTATCGACAATCAGAAATAGAATATTCTCTACTCTTACCAAATACATGTCAACACCTTCATAGACAATAATTTAAAATTTACACAAGATATCACAAAAATATTATCAACTCTGCAAATAGTTCATGCCAAAGAAGTTATAAAATAGAATGGTGAAGTTTGATTTTTTTTTTTTTTCCTTCTAGAATTCTCTCTTTTTCTAAAGTTTGGATATATATGTATATACTATGAATGACCAATAATTAATGTACTCAGAAATTCAATCAGTGTGATCAAAGGTCTTACTCAT